AATTTATGAGGTTATTACGTTTCTAAACCAAAAACGTAAAATTTAAGCGTTCTGACCTTCATGAATATGCTTATGATATAATCGTACCAAGTCGGGATAAGGTTAGAGATAAAACCACGATGTCTCAAAGACGGTTATCTATCCGTCTGGTCATTTATTACGGATAAGGAAGAATGACCTACGAGAGTTCGTGATGTTTAAAGCCTCTCATAAGTAGAAAAGCTATATCACAACACTTTTGGGGATTCATGCTAGGGCCGTTGAGACTAACAGATAGCTTCTGTCAAACGTGACTGGGGATAGGATATGCCAAATATTACATCATTAGCATACTTAATCGGATGCGAAAACAAATTCTCACGGACATGGAGGAAATTTACGAGAAAAAATGGAAAAAATGGAAAAAATAATAGCACGCCTTGTATGCGGGGCAGCAATGAATATGCTGTCTTGTTAACGTGTGACGCTTGACTTGGCCAATAGCTCAATTGTTGGAGGTTGAAAACCATTGATGGTAAAGATTTAGTCCACGAACTACGTGAACAGCCTTGCTTTTCTTACCAAGGAAGGATGAACTCAAATGGACGAAGGAAGCAAGGGGTACTCCCGGACAGGCAAACTGGTGTGGGTCTTCAACAGTTCTGTTTTTGACGCTATGCTACAGCAGATGGGAACACTTTTATGCCAAATAGAATTCATGAAATGTTGAAAAGTTGCAGGGGAAACGGAGGCGGCAAATTACTTCCAGACTCAAGCCTCCTGCCTTGATAGGATTTATTCGGGTCAATTTATGATAAAGGTCAGCAAGAGTAAAGATTGCAATCTGGTTCATTGTGTTTATAGCGCTTTCATTTGGACAGATAGGGAAAGCATGTCGTTTTGGCTGTTTACCGGCTTGAGGACTTAACGTAAGAAACATGTTGGAGTGAATTTACAGTTACAATTGTTTTCATGTGCATGACACTCGGAATCTTTGACTTGTCCAAAGGATTGGAAATATGTTACATCGAATGTTTCATAATCTGCTCAGAAAAGTGTGGTGCAACCAACAAATTAGGTAGGATGATTGGGAAGACTCATCGATCATATCCGTGAGATTTCGTTAGCATCAGTATAGTGACCTGAATTGCCAAGGTGATGTCATCTCATGTGACAGTATTCGTGATCAGATTGGCCAGTTAGGTCAGCCCCAGTTCAGCCAGACCAGTCGAAGTGCTGTTTCCAGTTTGTTCTATGCACAGTAGGCTCAGTTGCTTAACTGCTAGCGTTTTCCCTCATTTCTAATTGGGTTCATTGGACAAGCTTTAACCTATTTGTATGCACTGGGTAAATCACTGTAAAATTATTGTTGTCAATTATTTTTCTTTTTGTTTTTCTGCGAGGTGAGTCACAACAGTACTATTTATTATTTATTTATTATTATTATTTGTTTTATTCATCCAGTGCTCAAGCTGACCAGTTTGTACCATCTTATTCTTTCTCTCTTTCCTGACTAACGGATCTTTCAACCCATGAAACCTGTCTCACACATGAAAAGAAGTGAACAATTACCACATGCTGCAGTAGACCACTTGAATTCGACACTAGCCTCAGAGCAGTAAGCGACCAGATACGCTTCCAAGCGAACAGGAGGAACTTCAATGGGGTGGTCGACTGTGACCAGTTGTTATTGTTTTACTTGATTGAATAAGTGGCACCAATATAAACAAATATATAGAATGAACCACTTTACTTTCTTTTTATTTATTGTGCATGCAAATGTGCAGTCACCTTTCCCGTGGTCATACAAAGGCTACCTGGGGGAATACAGAAAGGAGGAATAAGGGTGGCGGAGAGGGGTTTTGAACTCATGACCTTCAGATCACCATTTTGTTGGCCTCCATCAGCTGAACATCNTAATATGGCAGGATTTTGACCTCCAGGCCAAAATTCTGCTACAAAAATGCCACAGATGTCCCTAGAGTACATCTTGACGCGTGCAAATCCAGACATCCAAGAAGTGATGTCATCACTATCATTATGTTGTCCTTAAGGTAGCAATAGTTCGCGTAAAGATTAGAGAGGTAGACTCGCACTATAAAGGACACTTTTGTAGTTTATTTTCAATGCTCTTCGTGGCTTCTAGCATCAAACTATCTCCGTTCTCCATACAAAAACGTTGTCTAGGAGCTACAAGTATGTAACCATCGGGGAGGTAAGGATAGACAGTTTATGGATAAGATTCGTACGCAGTGTAAGCCGATTGATAAACGTTGTCCGGGAGTAGCTATATAGGCTTAAGAACTGCTATTCTACTCGTTCTTAAAGTATGTAACTTTTAAGAGTAAGAGTATGGGTAACTCGTTTTTACCCAATGTCTCTCAAGGTGACCGGTTTTTTGCATCGTCCTTCTCCAGGAAACCTTTTGTGGTGTTTGTCGTACGAGAAGCGCATGTTTCTTTTTCTCCATATCTTCTTCCGGTACCACTTAAAAACAAATTCATTGAGCTCTCAGATGCCTTTTTATTTGATGGGGATGAAACCGAGGAAACCTAGATCCTCATTAAATTTGTAGCAGACAACTATATGCTATTCATTGACCCCATTCTTCCATTTTCAACGACACAAATGTAATACCTTTCATTTTTTATTTCATCATATATATATATACTCAAAAGTTGTTATACCCACACACTGATGGAAAACCTCACTTGGTCGCCTGCAACATAATTTAGGTTCTGATATGTAGACAGATTCCACTTGAGCAAGCATGTGTAGGCACTGTCTGCCATCTAATTTGTTGTGGACGCTCAGTTGTTTATGAAATACACTGCTTCCTGCAATAACGGCAGCTACAAATGCATTTATAGCATTTAATTAGACTGCCAATCCACCTAATATAAGCACTCCATTTTTAACATCACAGCGACTGAAATTGCGGGCACCAATTAATGGTGAAAGAAGTTTTCATTAAAAGGTACTGTAGAGCCTTGGTTGTAAAGTGGATCCTATTCGTATGTACAAGACTGGATTTTCCACCAAGAATACTGAAATCTAGTGAGATAGATGGAGAACAACCGCGATATCCCATCTAGCGAAAACATGTAGCCATCTTAGATATTCAATTTCTATGAGACGTTAGTGAAAACTAATTTATTCCAGGTGCTGTCCACGAAATAACTGAGTATCTGTCTGGTTGTATCTGAAAAAGGAGATTCAAATATAAATGAAGAGGGTAAACGGACACAAATGTGCTTGCTTGGGACAGAGTCGAAACTTGTTTAGGGTAAGTAACTTCTATTACGCCATCCTTGTAACCTAGTCAAAAAGAATTCTCCCTTTTCTCCCTGACACTCAGATCCTTACTCCTACTCCTGAGCAACGAAAAGACACCAACCAAAACCACCGCAAGCAAGTGTAGGAGTAACGGTGGTTCAAACTGAAACCAAAAGTGAAGACCTTTGAACAGTGAAGCCGCAGATGTTGGGGATAGAGAGTTGTCGAATAGGCTGGAACACACTCCAACCATGCGCAAAGATTGTAATCTGCAGAAAATTGACCCGTGGCAAGACTAACTGAAAGTTTCAAAAAGCCTCGAGATGCAGCTTAGTCACCGGAAACCACAGGAGGCTATAAGACATTAAACAGGCAAATCTGATAATACGGGAGCGTTTCATTTCCTCACTCATGAACAATCGCGGACCGCCTGAGGTACCTCGTGTACCTACCTGTCCCTGGATTGACAATCAATTATTCTGCCCCTTTATGGTCAAAATAGAAAATATATAGGGATCTATCTATAACCTTGAGACAGCAATGTGGGAAACAGCTGAAAGTTATTTCCTACATGATGGAATAACCTGTTTCTGAAAGTTCATTTTGTTTATTAATTCAAACGCAATAAGTAACATTCAGGTGAATGGGTGCTGACAATTTTTCAGACATTCATCAAGGTTAGCGCAATTTGCTTGGTTTTGGTAGTCAAACAATTTAGCTTGCTTTCAACAACGTACTTTGATCCTCAGATTCCGAGATTCGAACCCCGCCAAAATCACCGAAAGTTCCTGAACGGTAGCTTCACTGTTATTCGGCACAATACCACCTCTAAACTGGTGCGACCTTACGTAATTCACTGCTACAATTTCTGGGGATTAACTTACCGGTTTCAGGGATTAACCTCAAATATTTGCTTTGTGATTTTCTTTTTTATGGTATGAAAGCCTCAGTATGTTCTGGTGTACTTATCTCGTGTTGTGGCTGGTAATGGTAACCACTTCGTGAAATGCTCTTGTACGATCAAGCGTCTCAACTAGCCTCAGCGGAAGGACCCCTACTCATATCTCGTCCAAGGTGAGCGTGTTTTCCCACCAAAGTGAGCGAACAAAAACCAAATATCCGAGGCTATGACCGGGTCGTTGAACCTAGGAAAGTTGGCTAAAAACCTTCATTCCAAACCAACCAAGAAGAGGCGTACAAACCACAACCTTTTAGATTGTGGCACTGGTATCGGACGTTTGACCTCGTTCAAAGGCCACATGAACCACTGAACTGGACACATGATCCTAATGGATTACAGACTTTACACACCGTCCGCTGAATTGCGGGTCAGACTTTGGTTAACCGATGGCTTCGGTTGTGATTACCCTAAGAAAATCTATCTGTCTTGCCTGGAAGACCCTATCGGCATTGGGTCTACGAGCAAACTACGATAAGTGATCTATTATAAAGATCAGTGTACTACGATTTGCTTAGCACACAGCCTGTACTTATATCTATGTGAAAAATAATAAGTAAATTAAATTGACACCCTTGGAATTCTCAGGGAAAATGTTAGATACTGCAGTCTGCGTTGCCGGAGAAAATGTTGTGAGAAGGAGTTTAGCCGCTAATCGACGGTAGTATTCAGTCATATAGTCATGTAGTCCTAGTCTGAACAATTATTAATAAAATCGGAAATCCGGCATTGCCCCCCTCCATGGTTTCAGGAACAATTAGAGCAAATCTGCTGTTAGTTCGCTTACCTGAGACTGTTTGAAAGCTGGAACCGGGAATCTTCCATCGGACTGCTTGTTTGATTCCACTGTAGACCAATTGCTTTTTTTCTCTTCGTCTTCAGTTCTGACCAATCGGGCAATCTTGGCTCCTATCTCCAAAGGCAATTGGTGTAATAATTTGTCTAGTTTATCACATTTTGTTTCGTTGTGCTTTAAATCCGGAGTAACAGTTTTGGCGTCTTTGAAACGAGAAAATAATTATTCGGACTGTGTGGAGTAAGCTACACTTACGAATGATAAACTTGAACAACTCCCACAGAGACAGATGAATACTCTCGGGCACCTGTTGCAAAATATTCAGCAGAAACAGCTTCTTGTATAATCGAGATGAATTCAGCAACCAGTGATCTAGGAACATGCAAATCTCTTCCAGTGGAATGAAGCGCTCCAAGTCCCTCGGATAACCGAATATGTGCTCTCGGTTTTGCTTTGAATGCAATCTGTTGTTCGCATAGACATTTTCTTTCGAGCTAACCACACGGAAAATTGATTCCACTTCTTGAATAATTTCTTTCTCGTAGTATTTCTCAACGATGTTTCGAAGAAAGTGTTTGAGGCTGAATATGTCCAACATTTTCACTAATTCATCTCCAAATTGACGAATCTCGGTCAAATTGTATTCGTTTTCCTGGTGGAATGGTTTACACCCTGTCAGCATGTCATGAAGTAATCAATATGATCGTAAGAGTTCTTAGGAAAATCTGTAAGGAGATTTTGATTTGCTGCCAGAAACAGATCGGTGTCCTGTCACTAAAATACAATAAATAGGAAATTCTTTTGAACACATATTCTGGAATACTCTTTGGTGTGTTTCAGTTGATCCTAAAGAAGTGCGTGTGTTTGAGGCTTCAGAAAACCCAAAATGATGGTAAAAATACCATAGGATAATCCGATTCAGCTCGACTATCAACAGAATTCCGTGGACCGACAAATTTGCATTTCTACAACTTAAATGTTAATTGCGAATTCCTGAGACAAAATCGATATTCTGATCAATCAAAAAGTATCAATCGCTTCGTGTTCCAAATCGCGAAAAACCACCAATCTACAACCGATAGCTCGTACAACGGTCCTTCCTAGAGGCATGGTATGAACATCACTCAAAAGAAAAGCAACTTCAGCATCAGCGAAACCTAAATGCGCTCCTTTCACCAAAATGTCATCCTAAAAATGAAAACTCAATAAGTTTGCTGGTGTGGATTTACGTTGAAACTTTAGCACTTGTCCACATCAATCCTGTATAACTGCATTGGATTAAACTATTTAGGAACAATTGATGATTGATGGAATCAGAAATATAAATTGAATCAACCTCCCGTCCTAGTGAAGAGAAATTGTTCTGGTTTTTCTTCTCATGGATAAAGCCTTTCCATTTTAACGGATCTGTGAAACATTCAGTCTGATGCCTTTTGAAATAGTTTAACCAACTTTGGACGGTCAATTTTTGTTTTATTGTAAGTTACTCGGGGAGAATTCTATTTACCGTGAGAAATTCTGATCTAGAACTTTTAAAAGGAAACCCAATAGTTTGAAATTCATACAATCCTCATGTCGCCTGACTGACTTGCTTTTTGCACCTTAGGATAGTACCTGGGCTAGTGGAAACGAGATCTAAAAAGATGATTATATTGGCCTCTTAAGCATCGGCACGTTAAGCAATTCTGATAAAGAACACAATGTAGGCGAACATGTTTCAAGCCTTCACAATCATATTTATAGGAAAGAATTTCAATAATGCCAAACAGAAAGATGGATCAGTCATGTGCTTGGCAATGAACCCAAGAGAACTCCAAAATTGTGCTCTGTTTGGATCACATAACCAAAGTCGTTACGTCATGGTTTTACGTTATGGTCGTGTGAACAAGTGATTTGCTCTCCCACTGGCCAGCGGAGTTTTAGACCTTGAATCAATTCGCGTTGTGCGCACAGTTTAGGCTTCATGAGTCGGATGCTAATCGCCTCTGCGGTTGCTAACTTTCGAAACGGTATTGCTCTCGACGGGTGTGGTGAGACTCGATAAATGAATGTAAATGTCGAGCGCTTGTAAACCAATCGTCCCATCTCTACCAGATGAGCACCGATCGAGCTGAACACAGCTCCACTCCAACCCTGTGTGAGCCAGCGTGGACTGTGTTCTATGATCCGTTGAGATAACCGCCTTGTCGTTCGACCTACATAAGTTGCACCACAGGTGCACTTGAATTGGTAGACACTCGTAGATGAGGTCGACATAGACAGTTTATCTTTGTTGTAACATCAGGTGTTTGGTGACGTACAGAACACATCTTAGCTGAGTGGCATTGAATGCAGATTTCACTGATGAGAATAAAACTCTACTGACCCCTCAGTGGCGACATCGCCTTTGAATAGAAGTTTTATAAAAAGAATTCTCTTATCCGTTTTGGGCATTTTTATTGGCTCATTTTGTTCAGTCCAATTACGGTCGATAAACTTCTCAGGATAGCCATTTCTGACAAAATGATCGACATTAACTGTCTTGTGTAAAATGATGTTTTAGACGAATGCAGCATACTGCATTGTGGCCGTGTCCCTGCAGACCCTACGCCAAAACACAACCTCTGTGACAATGTGCTGCTGACCGAAACCTGTTACCTATCGCAAAGAACCTCACCCGAAAATAAATGCTTCAATGAAGGATTTTATGTGAATCCGCATTCCAAATTCTTGACGTTGAATACATAGAACTAAGGCTTTCAAAACATGTTCATTTTTGTGTATCTACAAACAGGGGTGATCATGCGCACCGTATTCACCAAAGTGAGCACTTTCGATTTCAGTCATTGTGGTTTCTGGGATAAATTCAATACGCTAGCGTTGATCGGGCGGTTGAGATCACTGATTTATCACCCGAGGTCGTACATTCCAACCCCACCAACAACGACGCCATTAGCTTTCAATCATATGGCAGTGGTTTGCTTGCTTTGTGCATTAATCAGGAATTTAATAAAAAGAAGGAAAAAACTGCCTTGGGTGCATCAAAAATAGGATTTTTTCATTTCATTTTCATTTTTACTTCTTCTTATTCAGTATACAAAGGTATAATTTTCAGGAAGGGGAAAGCAGCCAATCAAAAGGCTGTTATACAACATACATAATGGATAAAGACAGGCGATGATGGTGGGATTCGAGTACACGTCCTCTGAGGTGATAATTGGTGACATTACTACCGGGAATAGAAAGGCATTCTGATACCAAGTTAAACTTTTCCGTGTTGAAAACACTTGTCACGGATGTCATTTTTCAATCATAGGAAGGTGGGACATTTTTTACTCAGAACACAACAACACTTGGTGTGTTGTGTGCAAATGAAGAGTACAGTGTTTTTAGGTAGAGAGTACAAAATGTTCTCTCGGGTGATTTACATTTGCCTCATTCCTTCCATGTATGATCAGTGAGAGATCCTATTCAACTCACTAGACCGTCTAAAAGATGCATGACTTTAAATTGCTTCAATTTGCCAGCGCTGTCACAAGGATGCACTTTGGCGGCACCATTCTCTCGGTGTCGCCATCATTCTCATGAGAAGAAATTCGGGCTAAATTCAGTGAGTTTTATGAATGTGGTCATTTTGGAACTAAGCTGGAAAATCATCGCTTACTATTCCTAGATGTTGACTGGATAAGGCACTTGGATGTTAAACCTATTTCAAAGAAAATTTTACCATAAAGCCCCATGAAACGGTCGAACCACTAATGATCAGAGTTTTGAGCACGATGACAAATAACGCCAGAAGAAAGAGATCAACGTATATTGACCTTTTCAACCAGGAGTTATTAAATCCAGTGCTCCGATGGTGCCACTTATGGCAGTCAGACGTCAATTTAACCCATCCAGCATTGTAGTTACTCATAATATTTTAACTATTTTATCTGATGGGGCGAAGTCTAGCAACATGCAATCAAGTGCATGCAATCAACTTGTTCAGTTATAATTGCTCACTGACCTTTAAATCCATACAAGCACATTCTCGTGACTTTTGATAACAGGAGACAATAACTCTGTCACATTCAGTTTAAGTTTTCAACACGCTAATCAACTTTCGTGTTCGTTGCCATACCATCGTTGCAAACGTTCAGAGTTTCAATCGTCATATTATTTCCTTAGCCTATCTCATCTTTTGTAAAAATCTTTGGAAGAGCTTGATTATTGGTTGCACCGATTGTTAAGGTTTACTTAGTAAATTTTGCATTATTGTGACAATTTAAATTTCACGTCAGTTATGAGGATTGTAACCGTTCTTTAATATCTCAGAATTAGCTATCATTGTCATCGAAACTGAAACAGCAGCGTTTTTAACAACCATACGTGTGGGCAGTATTGATTCTGTGGTATAACCAGGCACAAGAATATCTCATTGTACATGTGTTGAGACTCCATCACTTACGTTGAACGAGGCCTTCTTTTTGGATACTTGTTTAACACTTATTTTGCATAAAATAAAGTTGAATCCCAAAGAAACAATAGTTTTAAATACGTGCAGCAAAATTTCGCAAAGGAAAGATCACACCGGTCAGGAATAGTCTTGAGCTCCCCATGTTATTTTTAAGAGAGGAGACATTTACTTATTATTCATAATAAATCCAATTAACACTTGGATTACTGAAACTCACCCTAACGTAACCTGATAGCAGAAAGTAACTCTTTTACATATTGTATTTTATCGTGTAAAGAGCAAATGAATTGTGCACTGACCAGCTGTGAAGTAATAGACAGCTGGTAGTATGATTGTGTTCTGCTTGTGAAGTCCTGGTTTCGACCCTCAAGATGAGTCGATGGATTTGCACTGCTGGTGAGACCCAACGAGGTCAAAACAGTTGTTCATTGATTCCAAGATTTTCACTGCTAGTTGCATCGCTCTGTTCACGATAAAATTCACTACACAATCGAATCAAATCCGTCATCTCTATCATGCAGCAAACAAAAGAAGATTGGGATGTTTCCAACCGCATTATAACCTTGGAGGCTCATACGAAAATGAGCGATGTGTGACACCCGCTTCAAGATTACAAAGATGGGTTAGGCTGTATCATGTACGGAAAAGTAAATTTGAAAGATCTCTTCAAATGATTTTCATCAAAAGCCAATTGCAAATCAACTTTTCTTGAAGAAACCCCATATGCATATCATAACTTGAAGCTTGCTACAAATAAGCCGAGAGCACTAATATCAATAATAATGTTTGCCACTCCAGGTAATAGTAAAAGGGATACCTGTTAACCGTGGCCATTACTGCGGGAAAATTTCACCAGCCCAATATGTTCAGCATTGGGATCACTGTTTTCTTTCACAGACGATTCACCTGATGTCTTTAATCCCCATAATCCTTCACCTTGTGATGACCTTAAATTAAGGAGGGGAATTCGGGAAAGTCATGCTGCAACTGCATCAGGGCGGAAACTATCGCCAAGGGGACTGTGCAAACTTACCGTCCCCCTCTCAATTCTATTTTCCTTCGAGTTGAATCTGTGATAACCGTGAGCGTTAAGCGCACTGTAAACAAAAGCCTGGTAAACCTAGCCTACTGGATAACGTTAGCCACGGAGCGACGCGTTACAGTTTCTGGACAACGAGCCACAGGAAAATCGTGCCTACCTATCAGTAGTCATGCGGTTTAGACAGAAGCTGTATGACATCAAG